TCTTCCGTAATATTCCTCTGCTCTCGCCGCGTCTTTCTCCACCTGCATGCATGCGTCAAAATTCAAATGTTTCCTAAACATTCATTCATTTGTTTCTGTGGAATGATTAATTAATTTGTTTCACGCACCTCGTGAAGAAACTTGCCGTAGTTTCTCAGCAGAAGCGCATCCCTCGGGTTTGACTTCAACATTTCCTCGTAGTACGCGCCGATTCTGATCCGCTCGCCGCCGTTCCCGCCGGTGACAGTCGCTCCGCCGCGATCGCCTCCGCCGTCGCCTCCGAATCCTTGAACGACGTGCCTCGCCTTGCGCGGAGCGGCGTCGGAGAGGAGATCCTCCTCTTCAGGTACGATCGGCGGGAAGGAGCGCGATCGCGATCCGGTTCGGTTGAGATCCCGGCGAACGGCGGAACTCTCGGCGGCGCGGTCCGACGAGGCTTTGCAGGAATCGAATGAGCGTGGTTGTTGTCGCCGGCGAAGGAGGCTTGGCGCGTGAGAAGGGCTCGAGGTGAACCGGTGTGGACCGGGCTCTGGACCAGCACGGAGCCGGTTCGGATTAGAGAAGCTCGCATAGTTTATTTTTTTTGAGTCTGAGAAGGTTGAGTGTGGACTTCTAAAAAGGTGTTCAACCAACTCATTTATTGCGTGGTGCTGATGGATAAACCAACGTAATTTTTACTCTGATCTTCGCCGTTGGATCAGATCCTAGGGTTGACCAAATTCTGAACCAGATTACGACACGCGTCCACTGTGCACGTGCACCCCCACTCCAGCATTACAATTTAATAATTTTTTTTTAATTAATACACGCATTCGTACGAAAAGGCACCTTCAATTTTGTTTAATCACTTTTTTTTTTTTTTTTTTAACGAATGCAAACAATAATCGATTAAAAATAGCGATTGAAAAGTAGAATCACAGGAAGTACCTGAATCGTGATTAGTGAAGATATTACGCCACGTAGATAAAGAATCACGTGATTAAGAGTAGAATTGTCGATGAGTGGCACGATTTGTTTTTTCTTTTTAATCTTTGTAATCGAAATTGTTTCTTTACAAATGTTTAATCGCCGAATTAAGTATGTACTGATTTCCTCTGCCTAGTTAAAATCAGAGCTTTCCGAAGTTATGTTGTCACTTGTAAATAGTAAAGTCTTGTGTTGCCAATTATACTACACTTTTTTAGTCAACAAAATAAACGGATTTTTATTGATGTAAAATGTACCAACAGTGCTCGTTAAAAAACAAAGAAATTCTCCCAACAATTCTGTTGCGGTAGTAACTTTATGTTTCTATAATATTTGATTTGAAATAAAAATGTAATTAACCGTATAGGTTATATATTGATTGCTGGGCTAATTAACCAAACTTAATGTTTCTACACAGCGATTATAGTAATTAAATCGCAATGCATACATAATATATATTGCCAATAGATAAAATAAGTAGACTTTTTTAATATGTTTTGTTTTTTCTGTATAATCAACAGAGTATTCGTCAAAAAAATTATAAAGTCCACCTCTTGATGAAAGAATTTTGTAAGGAAAGAAATGTGTAGAAACTTGTAATAACAGAAAAGTGCGAGAGAATCTAGTGATTCCATATGGAGAGATTGAAATAGTTACAAATATGGAGATGTAGATTTAATTTTTATTGTGATTGTTTTTTATTTTTATATAAAAAAAATAGAAAAGTGCGAGATTCCGCATGTCGTTGTTAGGGTGGTACAAGTGGTTGGTTTCCTATGTTCTCCAATGGTTTTGTAGAGAAAATGGTTTTGTCCGAAATACAGACAAATTGAGTAGAAAAGGTCAATTTAGAAAGGAAACTAGTTGCTTTTCTAACAGTAGACCAACTAGGATAAGGTTCATCTCCTTTCATATTCTTTGTTTGTGCCTGTTTTGATTTTTATCCAAGATAACATAATTATAATATAATATAATATAATATAAATAAATACATTAGATTTTTCTTTCTAGTTTTTGGACAGAATGAAATTTAACATATTCCAAGTGTAAATATATTATTAAATCTCAATTAAAATTTATCATACCACTAACAAATAAATTTGAAGATGTATATTAAATTAAATTATGCAGAGGCTCTTGATTTTCTTTAATCAAGATACAGTTGCTAAATTATTTAACGATTCATTGCTTCTGCATGAATTCACTTTGGAAAGTGAGCCCCAGCCCACGGGATGTTTCTCCATTTGGGTGACACGTGTACTCACAGGCCCGTCTCATCTCACGTGATAAAGACTCTATAAGCCCAACAAGTGCCACTTGGACCATGGTTTTTTTTACGTCGTTTATCTTGATTTAAATTTTTTACCCAAAAAACAAAATCCTAATTCAATTTTTATTTACTCTTCGAACGTGTTTGGATTCATGTTTATTTTAGTTGATTTAGATAAAAAATAATTGTTCCTGTTCGAGAACACTTGTCTCCTTGCTTCTTAGCTGCCTTCAAGTCTTTCCGAGTCTTCCGTGCCGACCGAATTACTAACTCCGAAGGGTGGGGAGGGTACCTGCAAAGGCACTCCGACGATCAAGTCAGTGTTCGGTTTAGAGCAATAAATGTGCTGGTGGGAATAGTAACGTACCTCATTTATGTCACACCACCTGTATATTTATAATGACATATGTGGGCCTGATGGGCCTTCATCCTTGGGAAATGGGTAATACATGATTTAACCTTAATCCTGTCTTAATCTAGTATGGTAATTAATGCCAAGTAGGCAGTTGGTTTGCCACGTGTTTATCATAGGCTCTTTCTTCAGGTTCTCGGCCAGACTTGGGGCCGAAGGGGTGTTCGGCCAGGCTTGGGGCCGAAGGGGTATTCGGCCAAGCTTGGGGCCGAAGGGGTGTTCGGCAAAGCTTGGGGCCGAAGGGGTGTTCGGCAAAGCTTGGGGCCGAAGGGGTGTTTTGAATAGTTTCATACCTCTTCTCGGGGTTTTTGGCTACTCACAAGACCGAGGAGTGCTCGGCCAAGCTTGGGGCCGAAGGGGTGTTCGTCCAAGCGTGGGGCCGAAGGGGTGTTGTGTTTCATTCGGCTAAGGCATTCCTTTCGGTCTATTTCCTGTCCTGAGGGGACAGTTGGTGTGGTTTCTTGGTTCGGGCCCTCCTCTCGGCCCATTGTTCGACCGAAGGGGTGCCAATTGGTGCGTTTCATTAGTTTGGGTGCCCCTTTCGACCTATTGCATGACCGAAAGGGTGCTTACTAGTACACTACCCCCCCAAGCCCAAGGATGCAAGACGAAGGGGTTTTATACTTAGAGGCTCGGGGAGATTTAGGGTTTAGAACGTAGGGGGTTTTGCATTTTTGGGGAGTTGTGTCGTCAAGATAGTGACCGTTGCATGTTACCGTCGTCTTTGGGTTTCGTGCCTAGGGTTGTGTCCTTTGGGGCTCAGTTTAAATTTTTTATAAATATTTGAATTTTAAATTTTTTATCCAAACAAAATATAAAAAAAAAATATTTCGTTTAAATTTTTCGTTCAAACACACTAATTGATTTCCACTTATTAGAATTAGAATTAATAGCGTGGTAACGGGTGCACAGATTTAGTCTTAATTTGTTAGTCAAAATATTTATTTACCAATATTATTGAAGTGATTTAATAAAAATTAACTAATCTGACCCAGTTTCCAAATATTTTCAACTGATACAAACATATTTTACCCTTCCTTTTACAGTATTGGAAAAGTGAAAACATTAAATTAATTAGCTTTTGATAACTATCTCCACCCTTACTCTCTTCCATTTGCAATCCCAATTTCAGTTATAATCACGACAAATCAAAATTATATACACAAATGAAATAAAATATTACAATGCATCATAACTAATTAATAAAAAGATATGTTTGACCAAAACAATATAATAACATGATAAAGTTATAATTCATTGACATTAAAAACTATCATCCACCTAAAGCCGAATAAACAACAACAAAGGGGAAAAAACAGAAAAAAACAAAAACTAAGTTATCACCGAGATAGTCTTTTTGTTTTTTTTTTGGGTAGGTAATTAACAATTCTCTAAAAGGCTTCTGAAAAACGAGGAAACAAAAATTAGATAAAGTTAAATTCGTAAAAAGAGATCATTATGCTAAACAAAACAATGACATCTACCCCTGATACTGTCCTCGTCCATATTACTATCTCTGTCACCCTGCATCAATTTCACCTCCAACTTGATGAATGTTCCTTTTCTTCAAAATAAGGGTTTCATATGTTCTTCAAAGAAATAATAAATAATTAAGATTAATGATCATCATAAAATTAAGAGATCACAAGCAAAGAAGTTAATCATATAATGAAGTAAACACTGAAAACATATGGTAAAATAATCATCACATGTACAAAATGCACAAGAACAGATTTCATATAACACCTTATCAAATCAAATGTGGTTGATGGAAACTTCTGTAAAAACTGGTTAACCACCCTTACATCCTCAGCAGATACAGAGAAACATTCATCCACTGTCTCTTTAACCGGCTTTAATCTAACAAGGTTAGGGAATTGAATTTCCACTAAACTAGAATTTGATAGAACCTACTATATCAGAAAGAAGTGGAAACATATTTTAGTGAATCTTTAGATATATATGAAAAAACTAACAGGCAATATTCTGAAGTAAACATGCAAATATTATAGAAACAATACAAAAATCAAATGAAAATGAACTTACATCTGAAATAGACTTAAAGGTAGCCATCGAGGTTGTCATTTTATTTACATTAGAAAACAGTTGCAACCAGTTTAAGATGATTGGAGAATAAATATCAGAATACGTGTCAATATGTACTTCTTCAAGGAATGTAAGATTGCATGTGGAGGAGAGTTGGTGAGAAGAGGAAAAATCAACGTCAATGATACTAAGAAAACTAAGTTTTGGAGCAGACAGCTGAATATGGTAAGAATCCACTTCCTTCCAAGTATGCAAGCTCAAACTAGAAATGTTAGGATTAGATATGCGTAAGACTTTAACATCCTTAGCCAAACAAAAATTTCCAAGGACCAAAGTATTCAACAAAACACATGTTGAGAAGGGCTCAGCAAAGTCATTGCCATCACTTG